GTCCTGGTCAGGTCCTGGTCCCTGTTGTAGAACAGACTCATCCTTCTTCCTGAGTCCTGCAGACAGGCCAAATACATTAACAGTTTCAGAGAAGGAGCCAAAAACACTGCTGTGCTTTAAAGGGACAGTGCAAATGTATGCTGTCACACACTCTGAAGAAGCACAATCTGGGGCAGTAATTTTGAATTTCAAATTCCATCCAAAGCAATGTTTAAGAAGCTGCATACCTTTTACTACAAATATGTAGTAATAATGTTGGTGTCATGCTTAATGTATATATAAAATGTATTTAAGTATATTGTGCTTTTATAACAGCTATAATATATATATAACATCCATTATTCAAGCTATCATGACTAATATATAGCAACTTTAGTTTAATAATTTTGGCCAACCAGACCACTTATAACTTTAACTGTATGTTTTCCAACATCAGATAAAACTGCTGTCATGACAATTTCAAGGGCAAATTCAAATGTTTCTTGGTCTCAAATTTCCAACCCTAATGTGTGTACTGTACATGCTTTATGACTGGGGATATTGTGGTTGACTGAGTTTGTCACACACACACACACACACACACACAATCACCTCCAAGCCCTTTTTCAGTCACTGACTACTGATGGTGTACCATAAATGACAGAATACAGATTTACCATTAAACACAAAGGATGCTTTACGACAGTTAGGGAAACAGCAGCAGCAGCTTTGAAGGCACATGCATTGATTAAGAACAGAGACATCTCTGCATTTTTGTAAAAACCTCAGGGTCAACCATGTTGGAGAGATCCATGACAAATAATCTGATGAAAGAGAAGAAGAAGATGGTTAGAAAGTTAGAAAGAAGTTATGTTGCACTGCATTTTGTGCAGCAAAATACTTAAGCCAAAGGTTTTAATGACATGTCATTGTTTCCTCCGGTAATGTGAGGACATGGAGTTCCATCTTAAATAGACAGTGTTGTCTGAAAGCTCCTGCAGGTGTGTCTCTGAATCGAGCGGCTGGAAGGAGGACTGGACCAGCAAGTGTTATTAGTCAACACTCTGCATTGTAGTCTCAAACCTTTTTACAGCACCGTGAAAAAGGCTGTAAAATGAAATACTTTAAGGAATATCTAGACAAAGCTTAATCAGATGATTGTCTATTCTGACATATCAACACTTTACTTTACGTAAGGTCAGCTGAACAAAGTCAAAGAATGTGTGGGGTTAACATCAGGTGTATAATTAATAGGAATGGTTCGATACTCAGGTTATAAAACGGTGTGATATTGGTCAAAATTTTAGGATCGACATCGGAAAAAAAACACGGCCTGTCCAATCCGATACCTAAACCCAAATGCTCAATTTAACTTTGCGCGTAAACTTATGCTGTAAACTTGGAACACTGTCACCTCAGCAACGGTAACCCACAGCATGTTGGAGGAGAGAAAAAAAAGGTATCACATTGATATCAGTACCGTCAATAAAAGTTGCAGTATCAGTATCGGTCATGAAAAAGATGGATTAAGCCATCCCTAATAATTAACCAGTGATACTAATGATAGCATAGCATAGCATAAAAAAAGTGCAACATACAAATTTGGACAATGTCCAGCAAGGGCATCTGCCCAAAATCACAGAAATCTATTGTCTAGAGAAGTTTGGACAGATAGTTAAACATTTAAACAAGAAGAAAACAAAGAGTCCAAACGGTGCACAATAAACAGAAACTCTGGTGCAGAAAAGTGGCAGCAGATTCCACGATGAGTCAAACCTTAAAATATTTGTCTGTAACAGGAGACTGTTTTTTTTTTTTTTTTTCAGCCGAAGGCTGGACAACAATAGGTGTACGCAGTCAACTGGGTAACATAATGGACTGTCATTGTAAGTTTAGACCACATCTCATATCAATAAGATGGAGATATGGTAAGGATTAAGGGTGTTCTCAATGCTGAGAAATACAAGCAGATGTTTAAAACAACTTATATACACACATGCTAAAAACCTTTATACAGTTTTAACAGTGTACCTTTAAAAGATAATATCTCCATATAAGGATGCAAGCTGAGTTGTATACCAGGCTCTCGGCCTATTGTATTTTTATACTTGACACATTTTTCTTGAGGTACCATATAAAAATATATATATATTTTTAGAAGATGTTTGTTTAATGATATCCAAGAGTAGCTGGGCTCTGCAGATTTTAGTAATAAAAAATAAATAAAAATAATAACAAATTCCCTGCCTGAGTACAAAGTATGTGGTGGTGATTTAAAACAAATGACAATACAATAGTTCTTACTTTAAATCAATATTATGGCTTTTTGTGGCATTGGTGAGAATTTGTCAGTGGAGACAGTGACTGTGGTTTGGTGCTGCAGGATAAACTGTTCTACCAAAGCACTGACAGTGTTCTCTCACTGGCTTTACTGGAATCATGCTACCTACTCATGCTCAAAGCTGAGCAAATCGGATTCTTTGGGATGGACCTGGCAAGTTCAAGTTGGGTCTTAGTGGGTTTTTTTTTTTTTTTGCATTGCTGATTTACAAAACTGCAATGACAATATAGTTATTGTTTCTTTTCTTCATCAATTCAAGATCAAGTCCTGGAATTAGATTCTATAAAACTAGAAAACAGTACCGTCTTTGGTTAAGATGCACATCAAGACTACACACTAGGGATGTCCTATAACGACCAATATGATCGGCCAGATAGCATAATTATGTAATATCTGTAAGAGTTGTTATCGGTTTTTCCTCCGATAATGAAAACCCAACAACACAATGTTTGGATTTTGCCAAATATGCTGGAATTGTAGGGTTCTGAAATTTTTACCTCAGTTTGGGGGCAAACGGCTGCAAATATCAATATTGGTTGATATTAAGTGTTTGCACATGCAGTATATATCGGCATATCGGATATCCACAAAACATTAACATTGGACATGCCTACTACATGCCAAAGCTCTCGTACAATATTGGTGCATGGCACCAATATTTGATGGATAACAGAAGTCTATCTGGCCTTCTCACACAGCACAAATCAAAATGTTTATTCATTAATTTTGTTAAATTGAAGTTTTCATTCAGATGCCAATGTTTTTCGCACAAAGCTAAATCTTGGCCTTGGTTTTTCTGAAGCCGTTTAAAAGCAGTTGAAGTAATGATTAGAAAGCTGGTTCCACATCTGAGATATATTTTCCAATACCAAAGCCGTTACTGAAACCAGATGCTTGGAGATGTTAAGACGTTGAGCCGTCTGATACTTCCTGGTTTTTTAACAAGCCTTTTTATTGACACAACGGTTTCATGTTTTGTTGTTTACACTTGTTGTAGTGATATGATGGATTTCAGCTTGTAAAAAGAAGATTTATATGAAATCATTTATCAAGGAAATGCAGCTCGGTGTTTCCTGTGAGAACATTATACAAACAAAGTATTGAGGCCAATGCCTGTCAGACTTTTGGATTGCGTTCACATTTGCTGGGATCAAATGAGCAGCAAGGGAAAACCATGCCGCTTGTTTCGCTCTGGGACCCAATCCATCCATGGAAAGTTTGTCAAACAAATGTGTTAAATTTGACAGTTTATTCGATTTAGCACTGGCATTCTTGGTTTCAGAACATAATGAATTTTATTATTAACATGAACTGTTAATGATCTATGTGTCAGGATTTACATGTTCACAGTGCATTCCAGGGCCAGTTGCTGGTGAATAAGAAAATGGTACCCTGTTGAGAATTTAGCTTCTAACAATGGTGGTCATAAAAACACAAGTATGTGTGTAAGCGATCTGCATCAGTGATGTTTTTGTATTTTTAAAAAAGCATGAAATTGTTCGTCTGGCACCACTTTGAAAATGTAAGAAGTTCTTTGTGTTTGACACAGTTGTCAGAGCTAAAGTAAGTTGGCTGCTTTGTTTTAAAGGCAACGAAGAAGTAAAAGATGGTTTAGACCACGATAAGATCTCACACGGTCCTGAGGAGAATGTTTTACGATGCCAAAGCTTTAAATCTAAATAAAACAGTTGATATCGCCTATGAAAATGTAAACAGTTATTTCTCTGAGGTTGGTTTCAAAGCATCACTTGGCAGTTCTCTGGATATCATTAACTCAGCAACTTTCCCCACGTCCAGGTCTGTTTTTCTAATGGTGGGTTGTGACCTGAAAGTGGGCTGTGGGCCTGATACTATTGATCATGGGTTCCAGTGTTATATTATTAATGACAGTATACGGCAAAATCTACAGCTTGGTCTTTTTAACCTACTGCTTGTGATCTGCAAGGGTAAATAAGAAGCCAGTTTTCATCTGAACTTCTTTGTTTTGTTTCTGACATATGCTCTATGGCTTGACGTAAATGTTTTAAAACATGATCTTCTCATGGCATTTTTATCTCCAAAATCCTTCATCAAGGTTTTGCTATGTGGTGGAGAAGTCACAAAAAAGCTGACAAAAAACTCTACTGGTGTTTTCATAGGAGAGCCTTGTAGGAGAGATGCTTTTGCAGACTTCAGTTCTCAGATAACATAGAGCTGTTTAGGGTTGGGCATTTACAGAAAAAATTATTAGTCTACGCACGGCCTGAGTGGCGTGAGTAAAATGAGTCCCTGGGAGTCGAAAGTGTGCGTCACCTCTGATTAGTTTACGTTTGTATTTTATCAACTTAACCAATAGTCATAATCGCTTCAGAAAATGGGCAGTGAGGTTGAGTGAAAAAACACATGAAAATACACAAGTCATCTAATTCCTAGTATTGCATCATTGATCAGTCATAGATTGTATTTGATGAACTTCAGTTGTGTCTTAACATAAGTGTGTGAACATCAATCTACATGGTCCAAGTAGAACATACTGTAAAATGTGGGCTGTGGAATACATGCATGCACTTTTTCATCTCATTATCCACACTCATTTATTGCCATGTATTGAAAGTAATGGGAGCTGGTGCCCTAATAATCTGTTAGATTAGATGAGATGAGAATTGACATCGGATTTCATTAAAGAAAACACAAAAAAGTATTTTTTTTTCATATTTATGTAAAATTTGTATGTACTGTACATGTAACAGGCAGAAATGGACCGTTCACATTCACATCAGAAACACAATAGTGCTAAAACGAACTAGCAAACCCACAACAGCACACATTTTGCAACATTTGCACGTATAAACACATTTGACTACAAGATTTCCCACTTAACCAGTAAATATGGATTGCTGCAGTTTGACTGAATGGGACGAATCAGGACACCATCTGGAATTTCCGTGTTACGAAGAAAATTGAAGATTTCCTACAAATTTCTCAGTGAGTTCTAATCTGGAACTGCTGCACTGCGTTGAAAACAACTAACAGTAACAAACAATAGTGATTTTTTATTTTTATTTGAAGGAACAAATGTGGCCTGTGGTCTGGATGTTTATGACATTTTCTAGAACATTTCTCACACATTTGATACCAAGTAAAGCAGGTAAAGCTCGATTTGAAACCTGTAGCCTAGATGTTACAAGTACTTTTTCTAAACGGTTAAAACGTCTTTTGTGTCTTTGGCAGTGGCAGCCACAGGGTTATAACTGTCCAAACTAAAATGTCTGATTATTGTGAATATTCTGGAAATATTTTAACACCTTTTCTACCTACTCAAACCGCGAAGAGCCATGCAAAGGGAAGATGCAACCTCTTGCCTAGATGTTCTACATTTATGATAATGTTTATGTTAGACAGTGAGAAAAAGCGAGTGACCAAGTGTTCTACCAAAGCTCTGCACTACATTTTATAATATATATTTCAGAATCATTTGAATCTCTGACCTTAATTTTATTTGTGTGAAAAGTATGTGTGAACAATCCAAGTAGTAAGACTGTACATTTCAAAATCAGCTCATCAAGTGTCCAGCCCTCTAAGTCTAAGTGGCGATATCCGACCCCAGGCCAAGGTGTCCTTGGTCTGTTCTCCACCTTCTCCTTCCTCAAGGTTTAAGCCATGAAGGAAAACTGATATTCCTGACATCATTCTGCTAATGTGATATGTTTATATTTATATATATGTCTGGCTAATATGTTAAAGACAAATAGTCTATAACATTTCCGGTTCAAATGTCAGATTATTCCTTCAGTAAATCATAGACATAAACTGTGAAACTGTGAAACTGCTTTTAGTGAGGAAGGGCTGAAACTACAACGTCCTTTTCTGAAGCTGCAGAGGAAAAAGGAAAAACCCAACCTTTTAGTGACTGTGCCTGTGATGTAATCACTCACCACATTTAACTAAAACTTAATAATGAACATTTTAAAGTACTGTATACGTCAATATACAAAGATATATATAGATATATAAACAGAACAATGAAAAGCAAAGTTTGGGTTTTTAATGCTTCACGCAAGTTCTTCGTAGGAGATGCCACCAAGGTTGGCAGCAAGATCATCTCATTAGAAGACATTCTCGAAGGCGGGACATTTGTAGGTCTTGAGTTTCTTGATGGCCTTTTTAAAATCTTTGCTGGTCTTGTCCCACTTGTGGATGCCTGTCAGTAGGTACTGCTTGTCCACCTTGCGGCCCATGATCAGGTACTGGTTACTGAGGTTTTCCAGCTGCTGGCAGGGACAGTCTGCACCGTTCTTCAAGTACAACACCAGCTGCTTCAGGTCCTTCTTCTTCAGGTTGCCCTGTTTTACCATCTTCTTCCTCTTTTGCAGGATAACCTTACGGTCCATGTTTTCACGCTGTACTTCCTTGATTTTGGCCTTAAAAGCTGCAAGAAGGAAAACAAATTATGAATATGTTGATCTTTGGCAAAAGGTGTTATTTCAGCATACTTTCCCACTTCACAAAATTTGCCTTTTTAAAAAAATAATTCCCACCTCTGGAACTAGAAAAAATGTTCTTCATTGAAAATGAATACCTTGACAGATTGTCTTTATGTGACAGCGAAAGCTTTAATCATTGATACAAGTGGCTAAAATTAGTTTCGCTAACTGGATGTCTGGGCTCTTCCTTAGAGATAAGATGAGAAGCTCGGTCATCAAAAGGGGCCAGACTGACCAGAGCCGGTATGACTAGAGCCAGACTGACTAGAGCCAGACTGACTAGATGCCCAAGCCACCTTGGCACCTCGGACATGACTGGCCTGGGGACGCCTTGAAAACTTCAAATTAGAAATAGTTCGCTGAAAATGCTAACATCTTAGCCCAGACAACAGACCCTTTTTTACGTGAGGCAAGAGTGTTATTTAGTGGGAACACGTCTATCAAAATTTACATGCTTGGATCAACACT